GGAGTGGGGTCTAGACAAACAATTAGAGACAGGGCATTAAGATCTGGTCACTGTCCAGGGTCACAGGGGCTGCACTCTAGCTTGTAGCAAACTAATCCACCAAGTGTAGTCTAAGGGGAGGAAGGAGAGGGACTGTAAGCCCAGGATGCCAGCAGGCTTTCAAGAGTTGTGCACCCCACTTTTTTGTTTTTTTGAAACAGGGTTTCTTTGTGTAGCCCCGGCTGTCCAGGAACTCTTTGTAGACCAGGCTGGCCTTGAACTCACAGAGATTTACTTGCCTCTACCTCTGAGTGTTGGGATTAGACCAGTGCTTTACTTGGTCTTTAAGGGGCAACTAAATGAGGCCTCTCTGGCCCTGTTCCACCACAGTCTATCTGTCTAAGTTCAGGAAGGCACTGAAATGATGTAGGTTGTGCATCGCCTCTGAACTGAAGCATTGACACTTCTCTCCATAGCACCTTTATTAACAAAGCAAAGGAATTAGGTTCAGTTTTGCAGTAGACTTAGTGGAAGAAGACACAGTTTTGTTTTCCCGGCTCTGTGTCAGTATTCATAAAACATTAGCAAATCACTTACCCTTCCAGAGCCTCAGTTTCCTCCTCTATAACAGAAACATGACCACACCTTTCTAAAAGGTTGTTAAACTGTGATCCTATTTCATTCCATCTTCACAAGAGGCCCCAAGCAGGTTCCACCTCCACAGGAAACTGGATCTTGGAGAAGTGCCATCCAAGATGTGCCCAACATCAGAGTCTGCAAGTACTAAGATCTACCTGGTTCTAGTAACAATCGTTTAAGCACCATCCTGAACTATTATGATATAGCCTAATGAGTGGTGAGTGGTAAAGAGAGGTAGTACTAGGTGGTCCGTAAAGCCAGGTTAATCTTGGGCACATTTTGGCCTTAATGATGAGGAATTCCAGAGTTCCTATCTCAAAACTATGAAAGAAGCTGTTTCTTTCTTTTAAGGCCCTGGAAGGGTGACCCACATTTGGTCAGTGTGAAAGGTCACCTAGAGCATTTGGCAGAAGAGAAAACTGAGGCTCAATGTGGTGTCAAGATTTAGACGGAAGATTGAAAAAGAATGGGAGTTGACCGCCACCTCCTTCTCGGAATGTACTAGCTGCTTCCGTCTGGTCTGCTTCCAGTTTCAGCAGACGGTTGGCTGAAGGATACAGTAGCTTATGAGACAAGGATCCAAACTGGAAAGCTCAGGGACTCTGGCTTGTCACCTTCTCATTTAGGCTGAGATCCAAGCACAAATGTGAGTTCTCAGTCCCTAGGCAGAAACTTGTCATATCAGTTCATTTGCAAGCTCCTCTCACAGAGTACAACGCCAATCAGCACAACCATTAAGTTCAGGTTGTCTTAGAGAGGGTTTTGGAATCAAGAGAATTGACTTCAGGTTTTGGTGCTATCTGGATAGCTTTGGGAAAGTCTTCTCACAATGAAAATAATGTCTGGAGGACAAAACATGAGGAAGCACTTAGAAAATGTTCAGTATAAGATCCTATAGCAGCTGGGCGGTGGCAGTGCACGCCTTTAATCCCAGCACTCGGGAGGCAGAGGTCGGCGGATCTCTGTGAGTTCGAGGCCTACAAGAGCTAGTTCCAGAACAGCCTTAAAAACAATACAGAGAAACTCTGTCTCGAAAAACCAAAACCAAAGTCACAACAACATCAACAACAACAACAACAACAAAAAAAAAAGAAAGAAAGAAAAAAGAAGGATGAAAAAGATCCTATAACAGTAGGCCTCAACAAATTACTTTAAAACACTTCTGGGTGTGGCTGCTTTAAAAAAATGTATGCCTCTACCCTCTGAAGAAAAACTGAAAGGCTGCTATCACCATTGCAGTTGTTTCAATCCACTGACGTTATAAAGTGAACCTCACTCTGGGACAGCAGAAAGTACCCTGCTTCTAATTTCTCTTGGTTCTCAATTCCAGGTCACTCCTTTCTCTCTCCGTCTTGGCAAAGGCCCCATGGTTCCAGACCACCACACCTGTGCTCCAATGCTCTACCAGCCACAGAGCCTGCACTACCATTGTTTCTTAGTTAAAGCCAATACTCCCTGATGGATAATTATGCACCAGGTACTATCCTAAGAACCGTAGATGAGAACACCCTTACTCTTGCTGTGAGTACTGCAGAGGCAGCTGAATGACCCACAGTTTCAGTAAAACGCTGGTGCTGTCGGACTAGGAAGTGGCATGGACAGGAAGCCACGGGCCACATTACACATTCCCCAATGGACTCCTCTTGGCTCCCTTTGAACATGGCACTTGAAGGGTAGTGAGTCTGGCCTGACCAAACATACTAAAAACAGCGAGAAAAAAAAAATATTTTTTTGGTTTTTCGAGACAGGGTTTCTCTGTGGCTTTGGAGGCTGTCCTGGAACTCGCTCTGTAGACCAGGCTGGCCTCGAACTCACAGAGATCCGCCTGCCTCTGCCTCCCGAGTGCTGGGATTAAAGGCGTGCACCACCAACGCCCGGCGAGAAAAAATATTTTTAACATATTGCTGTGTTGACTGAACTCCTTAGTAGATGGCTAGTAGACAACAATATATGGTTCTTAGTTGGGATCTCCATAATTAGTCTTTTAAGTATTTTTCTTAATAATAATTGCTTTTCCTAATCTGCACCTATTTTATACAACGAAGTCACAGCAGCGGCTGCATTCTGACTGCTTTCTGCCTTTATTATTTGTAAACACCGGCGGGCTTTCTTTCATTCCTAGCAGTTTTGATTCACCACTCCAGAACTGGAACAAACGGCAAAGCCTTGGGGAAAGCGCTGCTGGAGCTCAAGAAGGAGGCAGAGCTGAAGGAGCCTGTGTTCTTGCTCAGCTGTGGAGTACGAGCTAGGGCCTAGATGTCAAAGCTTCACACACTAATCCTCACACCTTTTGCTTTTTCTTCTTAACACAAGAAACCTGGGCCTCACCTTAAAAACAATCTGAATCATATAAGCTACGGAGTAACAGCAGCAGTTTAGGAACACAAAGTTTACATGTACAGTATGTGAATCAGTGCAGAGAAACCTATAGTGCATCATTAAGATGATAAAATAACACTGCGCCAAGTCACCATTTGTGCTTTGTAAGGAGGGAATACAAACATGGATGTGTGCATGTGTACATGCATGTGCACATAACTATCTACTTACATGTGAATATGCACAGACCAGCCCTGGAGAGATGCCTGTTATCTCTGGGAGGAGAACTAGGATGCAAGAAGCAAAGCTTAATTCCTACACTTTGGAGAGGAAGGAGGAGGGAGGGGGAGGAGGAGGAGGGAGGGGGAGGAAGAAGAAAATACTTTTTAAAAGTGTGAACATATCCCCCCAAACCTACCAAGATACTACTAAGTAAGCACACTCTCTTATTTGTGACTTACTGGGAAGTCAACGCTATGAAACAGAGTCCTCTATGAGGTTTCTACTGGTCAATCACTTGCCCAAGTATGTTCAAGAAAATCTTTAAAGAATGACAGGACAATGGAGAAAGAAAGCAATTACCAGGTAGAAGGGGCAGCAAGGGACAGCTGTTAGCTCTACCTTTGGCACCCTGTGGTGTCGTGCTGAGTTATTTCAGGAGTGCTACAGGAAGTGTCACACTAAGACATGTTTACCATGAGAATTTGCCTTTATGTCACGTTCACCTTTTCCTCTTTTAGAAATTCTAGAAAGTGTAAGTATGAGCCAGGAGAAAGGAAAATGAATGGCCTAGAATGTCATCTAGCAGAAACAGCCGTTTCGAGCTCACTCCTCCACTGCTGCAACGCTAGCTTTGTTCTCATGCAATGGGTGTTATCTGTAGGAGTCACGGTGTGCCCCTGCCACTTCTTCTCTTTGATGTCGCCAACACAACTGCTTTCATCACCAATCTTGCTAAACACAACTTATAGTTAAGTACTTTGTGTGTGTGAGTGTGTGTATGAGCACGTGCACAAACACGTGTGTGCAGGTGCTCTAAGAGGCCAGAAGCTGGAGTTCCAGGCTGTTGTGAGATGCCAGATGTAAATGTCAGGAACCAAATCCAGGTCCTCTTCGTGAGCAACAAGTACTCTTATAAGCTGAGCCATCTCTTTACCCTGGAAACATAACTTATAATGGCAGAAATAATAAATAGATAAATAAAATTCTGTGCCTACTTTTTTTTCTCCTTTTACCATTACTGGAGCAAATCACCAATTCCGTATTCTGAGGAGCAACTAGTATGGGGCAGAAATCCCTTGCAGATCTACAATCTAGTGGGGGAGGTAGACATGCCAGCTACTAAGCAAAATAAATAACAGAAATGCATGCCATGAAGAATAGAACAGAATACTCTGGGATAGCATCCCGGGGCCCAGATGAGACATGACTGGATGATAGGACTATCTCTGCAGATGTGCCATTTAAACTGAGACAAGGGCAAGGATAAGCTAGTAAGACAGAAGGAAAGAGCACTTCAGGCAGAAGACACAACTCTGGAGCACGAGTGGCTGTGGGCAGGTTATCTCCTCCTATTGGGGGAGCATCTAGCAGAGGGTTTTGTCAAACGTCACAACTCGGAAACTCTGGAGACAGGAAAGAAATTCAGACCTCACTGTGGCACTTGGAGTCACTGTGACACCTTCTGCTGAGAATATTCAAGTGGTTAACATTTTCTAAAACATGGTATCAAGCAGCTGACACCGACAAGGCCAGTTGCTGCATACACAAAAGATCCTTTGGCTGAGAAAGAGATTCTTGTTTCTAGGGTTGTTCCAAAATTAGGAAGATGCAGTTCAAGAGCAAAGTATTAATCACAAAGTGCTAAACAGGATGCAGACTACCAAACAGCACTTAGTCTGTCACTCCGCTCTGGGACACACTTCTAGCCAGACCTGTCTGCCTTGGAAAACAGTCACTTTTCATCTGCTTAGGGAAGCCAGGCCAGCAAGTACTCCCAACAATGTCACTCCTAAGCATGTTTGCAACAGACAAAGCAGCATAGAGCGAGGCAGCCAACGTACTGTTCTCTCGGACCAGGCAGAACTCCCAGGCGTTCTGGCTCTCCAGTGTGCTCTCCAGGTCCACTGCGATGTTAGGCTCACTCTGCTTCTCCAGGCGGTACTGAGGGCCTGGAAGATCAAAGGGGCAGGAGGAGGGGAGGAAGTCTGAAATGGTGAATGTAACACGGAGAAATGACCACACATCAAGGAAAGCCAAAGGAAAATAATAGTATCTGCCTCAGGCATGTAACAATCCAAGATGGCAGAAACTGGCTTTTCTTACCGTCTTCTTTAGCTCTTCCCACACCAGGTAAGGTTTGAGTCAGAATGAACTAGAGGCACACACTATTGCCTCTTTCTCTTTTATAGAATGAATTATCATCCTCGTTGGACCTGCTTCTGGATCTTACACCTCAACCAGTACAATGAAGACCAAGATGTCATGAATGAAACACTGATTTAGAGCTGGCATGGTGGCGCACACCTTTAATCCCAGTACTCAGGAGGCAGAGGTAGGTGGATCTTCTGGGAGTCTGAGGCCAGCCTGGTCTACAGAGCAAGCTAAAGAGACACCTAGGGCTATGTAAAGAGACCCTGTCTCAAACAAACAAACTAACCAACCAACCAACCAACCAACCAACCAACCAACCAACCAACCAACCAATCCCCTACTAACTTAGGAATCACTGTCTCCACAAAAGGCACTGCTGCCAAGGTACTTATTAATAATTATCACTGCATACTAATCAATTACAATCAGAAATAAAGTATGTGTAGAACTCTGATAGCTAAAAAGTGTCAAAGAAACAAAAAGCATGAGAGTTACAGAGTGAGTCTCAGGTTCTGGGTTTGGTAATGAAAAGGTAGCAGCTGTCAGCTGTTCATGCTTTTCCTGAGACATCTGTGGAAACACTAGAGACCTGGGTTCAGTATTCTGGTAAGCAAGAATTCTACCCATCCTGCATTACAGCAGATCTAAAAAGACAGCAGAACATTTTATACATTTATTCATTGTTTCTTTGTCAACCTAAATAGCAAGTCCTCAGATAACGCCTAATGGGTGGAAAAGTCAGGTTCAAAACCTTGCCTGTAATTTGCTCACGGCTATTGAAAAGGTGAGAGGCACAGGTAACTCTCATTGCTCTGACAATAAAAGGTGTGTCTGGCCAGACAGAAGGAGGTGTGAGAGAGCTGAGGATGGCAGCAGAGACAGTGCAGAGCTCCCGGAAGAATACTGGCCTCCATTTCCAACACCCCAGAAGCAATGCGTCAGAGCCACGCACCTACTCCTATAAATTTCCAGTGGGATCCAGGTACGAAGTTTAATTATAACACCAGTCCCCTATATCTATGTTGTGTGTATTCAACCACTGCAGACTGGAAACACTTGGGGAAAGTTGTGTCTACAGTATACTCATTATTTCTCATCATTCCTCATCATCCATACAACAACCACGCACACAGAGTTCGCACTGTGCCAGGCATACATGTACTCCAGAGATCAGAGTCTTTGGGAGAGTGTGCTATGCAAACACTATACCATTTTCGGGAGGGGCCTGAGCACCTGCAGATTCTAGAGCCCATGGAGATCCTAGAAGCAATCCCCTAACCCAAGATACTAATATTTGATAGTTTTATGATATTCAAATTGGGAACAACTTAAGATTTGATAACAGAGAGCCTACTAAATAAAATATTGTTGAATACTTCAGAGACATTAAAAGTAATTCTAAGATACTTAATATTATAAAACATGTCTATAGTATGATATTTAAAGAATCTAAGGCACAATTTTAATAGGATAATTATAGTTGTAAAATATATATAAAATGCAGTGGTAAGAAAGCTGTATCTAAAATGCGAACTGTAGTTATATTGTAATAATGGGATTATGTATGCCTTTAGTTTTCCTTTGTATTTTCCTAATTTCTACATAATAAAAGCTTTTTAAATTTTCCCCCAATTTTATTTTATATGCATTAGTGTTTTTGCCATGGGTTTTGGGTTACAGACAGATGCAAGCTGATAAAGGCTATTTTTTATAACTTAAAATGTTGCACATACATAAAAAATTTTCAATTTCTTGCTATCCATTTTTTTCTGAGACTATTGTAATTACCACATATTGTAGAACTTGGAAGAGCCTTTTACATGCAATAACTTTAATTGAGTCATCCTAAGTCACCTGGCTGGCCAGTCTGCCTGTCCTCCTTTCCTGCCCACTGAGAACCAAGGCCTGGCTGCCACAGGGGGAATCTCAGGTCACTTTCCTTTGCACTTTTAAATTTCCAGTCTCCACAACTTCCAGGGAAGTCAGAGGAGCTAAGGGCCCCATGTCCTGAAACCAGCTCCCCGTCACACTCTGAAATGCCTTTGTTCAGGTCTTTCTATTGAAATCAGCATGCATCTTCACATGGCTTTTAGGACTCTTTCTTGTTTCTACTACCTGTCCATTATGTGTTCCTCACTGGACCCTGCATGGAAGGCTTGGCAGCCCATTTCACAGACGGGAACAATGAAGAAACCTGACCAACATCACAAGGTAAGAAGCAGGAAGAGGGGAGAAGGCCCAAGGTCTTTTTGGATTTATCACTCCCAAGCCTTGAGTCTTTCCTCTTTCTGCAAACTATAAATCACTGGCCTATTATAGAGGCCACAGAGTACATCATAAATATAGATTTTTGTAGCTTTGTAGACTCATGTGGTTCAGAATCACTTAATTTGTGGTTTATATCAATTCAAATAGAAAATGATCTAAAATAATTTATTTTAATGAACTCACCAACACCCAGAGCTATGGCTGTGCTGTGGTCCATGGCAATGAAGTTGGCTTTCTCCTTCCATCACATGGGTCCTGAATCATCGAGCCACCTTACCCACACCCATCTTTCTTTAAGAAGCTTCCTATCACTTTGTTTGTGGGAGGTAAGCTCCACTGTGGGTTGTTGTCTGCTATGGGCTCCCCTACTGTTTCTAGAAAGGAAAGAACAAACTGCAAACCATTTCTGAACTTGATGGGTCTTGGCTTTGGGGAAGCTAAGGCTGTTTTGCCGAAGATGTGACACACGACCTAAATCGTTGCCAGGAGCTTGGGTAAGAGATCTTACAAAGGAAGACTTTCACACACCCTCCCAGAAAAAGGTCAGATCAATAACTTCCATGTAATGAGAGCATACTGGACCCAAGTGAGAAGCAAGACAGCTTAGGCTGGGTTCAATTGCCTTGGTCCAGGTCCTAGCTGAGCCATTTAGTTTATGATGTTGCCAACATACTTAACCTCCTGTCTGTTTCTTCACCTGTAATATGGGGATGATAACAGCATCAACCTCAGAGGGCTGTTTGGGGAATCCATGGGCCAAGAGCTGCATGGTGTCTGACACACTGACTGTGGTTGCTTTTGAATGAGACATGCCCCCCATAGGTTCATGACACATGGTCCCCAGTTAGTAGTTCTGTTTGGGAAAGCTACGTAACTTTTAGGAATGTGGAGCATTGCTGCAGGAAATACATTGCTGGGGATGGGTTTTGAGAAATTATTGTCTCACCACACATTTCCAGTTCCTTTTCTGTTTTCTGTGTGCTACTGAGATGTGATATCTCAGGTTCCTGGTCATGCCTTTCCTGCCACTGTCAACTGTGGCACTTAGGAACCACATACTTCCTTCCTTAAACTGTTTCTGGTCATAGAGAGCCAAACAAGAACACTGCAATTCTGTTTAAGGGTGTGCTGTCGCTATCCCTATCCTAAAACCATAGAGGGGTGAAGGAAGGGTCATAACTCTGAACACCCACCATCACTCTGAGGCCTATTATGTATCAGGGACTGATTGAGGCCTTCCCTATAGATCATCTCATTTATTAAGATACCCTGTGAAGTAAAGAGTACGCAACCCATTTCACAGGGGATGGACTGGGACTCAGGGCTGAGGAGCTGCTCCACGTCCCTTGGGGAGTTGGTGGGCCTAGGATGTATGCTGAGGCCCAGGCCCACACTATCTTTGCCGTGCTGACCCACCAAATTCTCAGTAAACAATAATCCACACTAGCATACCCTTCTCCCACTATGTAAGAAGCTACATTTCCATCAGTCGTGTCTGACTTCCAGAGAGCAGACATGGAAGGAAAGGACAACAGCCAGAAAGCCATTTAAGAAAGAAAGCTGTGGGGTCAGTTTCTATGAATGTGTTTTCACCAAAGACATGACTTTATAAAAGCAAAGACTCTTTCACACTGGACAGCACATGGTTCTCAAGGCAGTGTCCAACCTTTGCAAAAAAAGGTTTTAAAATGTCACAGCTGTGCTTGAAGTGCTACATGCCCTCTGGTGCATAGCATAGAGAACACAGAGGGAGGGTTCTGAGAAGCAATCACAGCGATAAGAGCCTGCTTGGGCATTCCTATGATGTATTTATTGTGGCAGTGCCATAGGATGAACTGATATAGGAACAATACACTGTTCTGGCACCTCGAGAAAGTTCCAAGATGTAACACATAGGCGAGGTTATAGACTCAAGTCAAACATCTCAGCTCCTACAGTCTGATAGCTAGGGCACACGTTCAGTGTGCTTTCCTGATCCCTCCAACTCTTGACTGAAACATGAAGGGTTTTAGCACATGGTTCCTTAACAGCCCCAAACCAGCTGGAGCTGAAACTTCATGGGAAGCAAGTGCCTATTCAAGTCTGAAGACAGGGAAAGTGTCTTGCAGCCTATCACTATGCATCTTTTTTCCTGAAGACCTTGGTAGTATGGAAAGTGGGTCTTCATCAAAGTACCTGGTTACTTTTGTGCTGTCACAAAGCTTAGCACAAATCTGTCACTAATGTCTACCACATTTCTTTCCCCTTTGCCCATTAGGACACTTAATGTGGACCCTACCTGTTGTAACTCAGACACACATTCCTGTGCCAGCTCCTCTCGGGACACTTGCCATTTAACCTGTATTTCCCTTTCCTTTCATGTGGTTGACTGCCAATGCATTTTTTTTCTTTTTTCTTTTGGTTTTTTGAGACAGGGTTTCTCTGTATTGTCTTGGAGGCTGTCCTGGAACTCACTCTGTAGACCAGGCTGGCCTCGAATTCACAGAGATCCATCTGCCTCTGCCTCCCGAGTGCTGGGATTAAAGACGTG